TAGTTTCAAATTGATTAACCTGCCCGACAACATGTTTAGAGTAAATACTAGGGCACAGAAAACCCTAAATCTGAGACAACACTGGTAAATTAAACCTGTATTCCTTTGTTTTTGTCCAGGTCAATCCAGACACTGGATACATCGATTATGACAGACTTGAGGAAAATGCTCGTCTTTTCCACCCAAGACTGATCATTGCAGGTCAGTGCTGTTTATAGAGAAAATCTGAGGATCTGCAATATGTAAAGCTTTTATAATTTAATTAATATCATTAATAATTTTAAAAAATGTAATCTTACTTGAAAATCCTTTGTTCCAACCCTTTGTTCAACTATATGTTGTTTTAATAGTGCTTCATAAATTATTTGGAAAAAAATGAATGCCAGCAACTACGGAAACTGATTTTCTTAAAGTAATTAATAATTATATTTTATGACCACCAGTTATACCTGAAAATTGACATCTTAATTTTCATATTTTTTTCCTACCAAATATGTGCTTTAAAAAAAAAGAAACCGTAACTATTTATTCATATTTATTTAATATACGTTTACTTTTATTCAAATTAATGCTAATACTATCACTTTATTTAATAATTCAGTTTTATGACTTTTTATCTTATTAAAATAAAAAAAAATTTGTTTTGTTTTTTGTCCTATTTGCTTTTTCCAGTTTTTTTTTATTTTTTACATTTCTACCGCACTTTGTTCAACTATCTGATGTGCTTTGTAAATCATTTGTGGGGGGTTGCAAGAGATTTAGCAAAAATAAGGGAGTCAGTGCTGCTCTGATGGGCTGGTTGGAGAATTTTTTTTTTAATTCAACATCAAAAGAAATGACAAACATCACCATTAACGTTTCTGTGTACCATTGTTAAGGCACCAGCTGTTATTCCCGTAACCTGGACTACAGTCGCCTGAGGAAGATTGCAGATGAGAATGGAGCGTATCTTCTGGCAGACATGGCTCACATCAGTGGTTTGGTCGCAGCAGGAGTCGTTCCGTCTCCGTTTGAATACTGTGACATTGTTTCCACCACCACCCACAAGACCTTGAGGGGCTGCAGGGCAGGAGTCATTTTCTTCAGGAAGGGTGAGTTCAGTGTGAATTGAGCCGTCATAATAAATCTAGGCCATTGACAGCGCTGTCGTTATACACTCTTGAATTGCAGGAGTTCGTAGTGTTGCTGCAAAGACAGGCAAGGAGACCCTGTATAACCTGGAGAGTCTGATTAACCAGGCAGTGTTTCCTGGACTGCAGGGCGGCCCTCACAACCATGCCATTGCTGGTAAGAGCTGACGTCCTCCATGTGTTTAGATAAGATGAGATAAGATAAGTTGAGATGGTTATATGAGGTCAGATAAGGTTAGGTAAGTTTGCGTTTAAACTAGGAATGTTTATGATTAATCCACGATCTATTAATTGACATGTAAATTGAATAAGCTTGCTGTTTAATTTAGTTCAGTAACCATCCAATCAGATGTTGAGAACACTGTCTATGCAGTCATCTGATGTTAGTGCGCACAAGTATTTCTCTGTATGTAAAGATTATATTCACTTTAAACACTTGACAACAAGCACCATTCGTTTGCTGGCCTTTATCAACCCAATCAACAGTCATGTCAGTGCTTGCTGCCAGGAGAGCATGCAGGTACACTAATTTTATCATGACCAGTTTAGTGGTATATATATATATATATATATATATATATGCATGCATGCATGCATACATACAGCGGGTAAAATAAGTATTGAACACATCACCATTTTTCCCAGTAAATATATTTTTACTGTTTATATTAAAGGTGCTGTTGACATGAAATTTTCACCAGATGTCGGTAACAACCCAAGTAATCCATACATGCAAATAAAATAAAACAAATAAGTTAAGAAATTAAGTTCTGTGTAGTAAAGTGGAATGACCCAGGTATTGAACACATGAAGAAAGGGAGGTGCAAAAAGGCACGGAAAGCAGCAAATGGCACTGCACATCACCCCAAAACATTATGGTGTAGCACTGGCAAAATTCATATAATTGAAGGAAGGATGAATGGAAAAATGTACCGAGACATGCTTGATAAAAATCTGCTGCCGTCTACCAGGATGATGAAGATGAAACATGGGTGGACAATGATCCCAAACACACAGCCAAGGAAACTCTCAATTGGTTTCAGAGAAATAAAATAAAGCTGCTAGAATGTCCCAGCCAATCACCTGACTTGAATCCAATAGAAAATAAGAACCAAAGATCAGAGTTCATAGAAGAGGCCCACAGAACCTTCAAGATTTGAAGACTCTGTGGAATTTTATAAGAGAATTCATGCCTTTAACTTTGCACTAATTGCATGGTTCACAACGACTTCCATAACTCATGGATATGAGATGACAGTTTATGCAGACAACTTTTAATGCGATTATTATTATTATTATATTATATACATTTTATATACAGTGGGTAAAATAAGTATTGAACACATCACCATTTTTTTCAGTAAATATATCTCTAAAGGTGCTGTTGACATTTTAACCAGATGTCGGTAACAACCCAAGTAATCCATACATACAAAGAAAACAAAACAAATAAGTTTAGAAATTAAGTCATGTGTAATAAAATGGAATGACACCGGGAAAAACTATTGAGCACATGAAGAAAGGGAGGTGCAAAAAGGCACGGAAAGCAGCAAATGGCACTGCACATCACCCCAAAACATTATGGTGTAGCACTGGCAAAATTCATATAATTGAAGGAAGGATGAATGGAAAAATGTACCGAGACATGCTTGATAAAAATCTGCTGCAGTCTACCAGGATGATGAAGATGAAACATGGGTGGACAATGATCCCAAACACACAGCCAAGGAAACTCTCAATTGGTTTCAGAGAAATAAAATAAAGCTGCTAGAATGTCCCAGCCAATCACCTGACTTGAATCCAATAGAAAATAAGAACCAAAGATCAGAGTTCATAGAAGAGGCCCACAGAACCTTCAAGATTTGAAGACTCTGTGGAAGAATGGGCCAAAATCACACCTGAGCAATACATGCGACTAGTTTCTCCATACAGGGGGTGTCTTGAAGCTGTCATTACCAACAAAGGCTTTTGTATGAAATATTAAATAAATTTCAGTAAGCGTGTTCAATTCTTTTTCCCTGGGTCATTCCATTTTATTACACAGAACTTAATTTCTGAACTTATTTGTTTTGCTTTCTTTGTATGCATGGATTACTTGGATTGTTACCGACATCTGGTGAAAATTTCATGTCAACAGCACCTTTAGAAATATATTTACTGAGAAAAATGGTGACGTGTTCAATACTTTTTACCCGCTGTATAGTATATACATGTATACTGTATTTACCCTGAGAGTTATTACTTGACTTAAATTCAAAGACAAAAGTAATGTTTTAAATATTTTACAATTTTCAGATTGTTTTAATGGAATATATGCTTTTTCTGTAAACATTCATTTAACAAAAAAATGACATTCAATTTTATGAAAATCGATTTTTAATATTCCTGATTGCAGTTTTTTTTCTACCCCAGTATGCCTGTATTCTTAGTTATGTGCTTAATTGTATTTGTTTGATGTGATGTGCAGGGGTTGCTGTTGCTTTAAAGCAGGCTCTGACTTCAGAGTTCAAGACCTATCAATTGCAAGTTCTAGCAAATTGCAAGGCTTTAGCAGCCAGCCTAATGGAAAAGGGCTACAAAGTTGTTACAGGTGAGTTCCTTAAAGATTTAGTAAGGATTTAATAAATTATACGTAAATGAAACCGTTGGGTGAGGGTGACCGAGACTGGATACAGTCGCGGCTGTGTTCACTTTATCTTTTGTGTTTATATGTAGGTGGCTCAGATAATCATCTCATCTTGGTTGATCTGCGTTCAAATGGAACTGATGGAGGCAGAGCAGAGAAAGTACTGGAGGCTTGTGCCATTGCCTGCAACAAGAACACCTGCCCAGGTGCATTGAAAAAAATAGCATCATGTTAGACATCTTTTTATATGTTTTACTACAACAATCTAACCAGTTATTCCACTGATTCTTTTTCCAAAATTTGTTATGAAGGTGATAAAAGTGCCTTGCGCCCTAGCGGTCTTCGTTTAGGGTCTCCTGCTCTTACATCTCGAGGACTATTAGAGGAGGATTTCCGTAAGGTTGGCGAGTTCATTCACCAGGGTGAGCTTTATGCAATAATGTAACATTAAAGAATATTGTTCTTGATATTATAATTGTCAATATGTGTATCTGCCCGCAGGCATTGAGTTGACATTGGAGATCCAAAGAAACATGAATCCTAAAGCAACTTTGAAGGAGTTTAAGGATGAACTGGCTCAAAATGAGAAGTACCAACTGAAAATAAATGAAACTCGAAAGGAAGTCGAAGACTTTGCTGGAAAGTTCCCAATGCCTGGGCTGCCAGAGTTATAATTACTGTCTTTCTGACCGTTTGCTAAGATTTCTATCGATTTAATGGGCACAAAGGCTTGAATACCACTCAGCAGTCCACTGCAATCGTCATGCACCTCAATGTGATGACTTCCCTTTCATATAAATCACCAAATGATCTGTTTTTAACCATACATTTAATTAGTTTCTCTAGTGTGTTCTAGTCACGTTTTCTCACACTTCTGTGGTTATACGCATTGCAGAATTAATCTATAAAACGTTTTACAGATTATACACTTAAAACAGATCAACAGAGAATAACCAACTGGCACAATGATTTTGTACATGCAGTGCAAATAAAGCCTGAAATATTGTAAATATGAAAATGTGACTAGACCTTTTTCTTGCTGATTAAGTGTAAAATTTACATCTCCCTGTTACTATTTACTCTAATAAGCTGACATGTATAAGTCATTACAAATTCCAAATGAGACGAATCATGTGCCTTTTACTATATAATAAAGGAAAGTAGGTTTTTGCTAAAGTCAGACTGTTATAGGGTAAGTATGATGCCATTTAATAATTATGCAAAACAGAGGTAAATCAGAAATAATTTAATGAAATTGAAGGCAGAGAAATTTCACAGTGGGCAGCAACTCAAAGCACACAGATGACCCTCAAAATTTACTTGACTTAACATCCATAAATATTTTAGCATGAAGAATATACCTCACCTTACCCCGGACAAGCTCACAATACTCTTCAAATAGATGTGTAAAGTAGCAACACAAATGCATGATTTAGACAGTTACAGCAAAAAAGATGTGTTCAGAAACAGCAAAAAGAAATAACCTTAGAAGTTAATGTGCGTATAATGGTATGGCTTATTCTCAATTTACATTCAACAGACTGGAATTAAATGCTAAAAAAAAAATCTGTCTGACAAATCGTTGCAAAGGCCAATAATTACTGGGTAGCCAAAACAACTTGATATTAAGACACACTTGCGATGAGACAGCGGTGGCAGTCAAGATCTGTAATTTTGGACTACAACTGCTATCATGCAGTAGTGGGAATAACAATTACAGACAATGTATTTCGGCAACAACCACCATTATCATTCATTTCACATCACTGCAACAGCCATTAGAATGAAGTGCCACTTCATCCACACAGTTACTCATGCTGACATTGCTTGCACACAACTTAAGACAACAATTTCTATCCATTTTAAATATATCTAGAAAGGCTGAACAGCACAACACATGAGATACAATGGAAGGGTCTATAAATTGCCACCATATTTTGCAGTCATTACATTTTTGTGTTCTTCAAACATGCAGAAAAGTTGTGTAACAGTTCTCCACAATGTGACAACTTACATGCAGTACATTCGTTCACCTTATCACACAATTACGTTAAAACCCAAAGGGCAGTTGGCTCCATTTTTGTTTAACCATGCCTTTAACCTTTGTTCATTTTTGTATTATTAAAAATATTCCGTTTTCCCCTCAGATTTTATGTCCACTGGAGAGGGCAGAAAAAAGGATAAATCTGCAAATTTGCATGTTTTCCCTATGCTATTAATCAGTTTAGTGTATTAATTATTTCTTAAGCTCAGAAAGCAAGTATCAAAAAGCATATTACTGACCAATCCATGAATTAACATCAAATGATCTGCTAATTGAAATACATATAATGCTAATGCATTTTATAAAGGCTGCGTATTGAGCAGAATGTGTATTATAAAATACTGTTCTGTTGCCACGCAAGTTAGTTCCATTAAATTATGCTTGTGATTTTCATGCAGCAACAGTTTTGTCTTGTGAAGACAAAAAAAGCATTAATTATTAAATGGGATACCAGGACCAGATTAATTAAATGGTGATTAGAGACTCTCCTGCTGCTGTTCCCATGTAGCTGTAGCTGTCAATGAAAACAAGCATGTGACTACACAGATTTAAATTAGCCGTTTCATATGGCTTCTTTCAAAACAACTACTTGTGCTTGAACGACAGTAAAATTTAGCTGAGTCTTTATTTTATTTCATAGATTTTTGTAAGGTCTTCTGACCGCAAGAGGAACCATTTTCTCCATTTTACTGAAGACGGTTTGGCAATAGATTTAAGTATGCAACCTCTACACTAAACAAATAGTCAAGACCACATTTTCTAACACCAGACGTTTAACCTGCTGCTTCCTGGAATGCCATGAACAAAAACAAAGGGGATTACATTCAATACATTTGGTCTCCTGATTTTATTGGGGTTAATGTGGAACAGATAGTGGACACATTCAGATTTTGTACAAATAGCTGGTGGTGTAATTAAAACAAAAAGACTGGTTGCCCCCCTTCGAGGACCCCTGAATGTAATGCAGCTTGATGAGCTCACTCAGGTAGTGGACGATTTTACTCTCTTCCACAGTGTAGCCAAGCTGCAACAAGAAATTAGTCCTGCGCGACGTTACCGAGCCCTGGTCGTTGATGTCCATGGGAAGGTGAATGTGATGGCAGAATGTATATAGGAAGGCCTTGGCTGTAAGCTGAGTCAACATGCCCTGAACATGGAAGAAGTAGGTACTGCCACGTTTGATCTGAGTCCTGTGGTCTGCCAAATGGCTTACTAGTGTTCCTTTGTATGGGGGACACCGGAGGGTCTTGTTGTCACAGTCCAAAATGCTTATGTAACGGCTGTATCGATTCAAAGAGTGGAGAATGCTGGTTCCAGCCGGGGAGGCAGCTCTGGGGGGGGGAAAAAAAAGATTAAATACCAAAAATAAATGAACACTGCACTTTTGGTCACTGATTTAAAGCATTGCAAGCAAAAAAAACTGGCTGCTTTTGAAACTATGATACGGAGTTATTGATTGACTACAGGTTGGTCACATACCTCTGCAATCCAATAAGTTTCCATCTCTGCAGGTCGGTAAGCTGAAATGGCGATGAAAGCCACGGTTGGACGGTTTCGCCGTACTTGCCGAGATTGGGAACGAAAATGAACAAAGCATTGACTAGCTTCCTCACCGTGCCCTCATCCACCCCTAAAATAACGAGCGTTCGGCCACTCAGAAGGCAGAAAATGGCTTGCTGAGCAAACGGATATTGCCTGATGAATCGAAGAGCGCTGTGACCAGCTTTCTTCTTCTGCTTTAGCGTCAACGCACTGCTGTAGGTGAACGGAGACACCGCTCGGTCAGAACTGGTGGAGGCGCTCATGAAGCTCGTACTATCGGAGACATCTTCGATATTAATTTTTTCCACCTCCTCAGTGTTTAGCTCAGAAAAAGTCAGTCCCATGTTTGGGCTTTCTGCGAGGGCTGACTCTTCCAAAGTGTAGTCCACCTGTAAGGCAGGGTCTCCCTGAAGAAGAGACAGAGGTTCTTTGTTCACCACTGTGTCACCACAGCACTCCTGAGCGAGCTCAGGTAAAGGTTCCTCAAAAATGAAACCGTCCTGTCCAATACAGCAGGCTGTATCCATCGGGACTAGATTCCCGTCAGACATCCTTTGTGGGACAGCAACAGAGCTAGATGCGTTTTCAGATGGTGATGCAATGGATACCTTGCTCTTTCGTTCTAGACCATCAAAGTAATTTGCCTGTAGACTGGAAGGACTAACACCTCCAAAAGCCTCAATGCTCTTGTCACTACTAAAACTCCCTTTGGTCTCCGTGTCGGCGGCCTCTGAGGTTTCCTGCGTAATGTCAGATGTACTGGACTCAGGAGGCCCGTCCATAGACTCCACACCTGGCTTAATGTGATCTACATCTATGCAGGTGGTGTACGAGTCGAGACTCAGCGGCTCGCCAGATAAGTTCAGAATGGGGACAGTTGGATTGTTGGAAGAAATACTGAAGTTCTTTGAGGTTCCTCCGTACTCCCAGCTGCGTTCAGCTTCGAAAAGGAAACTAGTAACGCTCTGTTTGCTCAGAAGAGCCCTGTCGATCTGGCTAGTGTAAATAAGGCATAGATCTCCTCGGAATGACTTCTCAATTATGTTTAGTTGCTCTCGAGTTTGGTGGAAAAAGCTGGCATCGCAGAGCTCTTCCATCGTTTTCAAGCGTTTGTCAAAGCATTTTGCAGATTTGGCCTTTATGAGCTGAGGCGTGTAAGAGGACTTTATACTCTCGCTTTCAGTTTCCACGGTCTTATCTGCAACGTCCGAATGATTACTATTTAGTGTATCATCGATTACACTCGTGTCAGCCGGTTTCTCCGTCTCGTGTTGGACAAAATCTACATCTTTCTTTTTCCTGGAAGGATAAGACGTTATTTGCCTCAGCAGATCTTTGTGTTCATAGATGGACTTCTCCACATTTGCCAATTCATTCGCCTTCTCAATAGCTTGTGTGGAATAACAGCCATTGTTCATTTTCTGAAGCTCAGTTTCTTTGTGCAGCACCGATCTGGTGTACTCCAGGTCTTTCAGTTTCTTTTCCAGTTCATTTGCAAAAGCTTTCCTGTTGCCTGATTTTAGAAATTCGGAAGCCTTGGAAAACTCGGATGACAGTTCTTGAAACTGATGCATGATCTTCCTTTCGTCTGCGGAAATGTAGGCCAAGCAAAAGGGGCGCACAAATCCACGAGCCTCCAAGTCGTACAGCGTCAGATGATGGACGTAAGCGAACGCCCCTTCCTTGGAATCACCCAGGACAACTTTTGAGTCCTCCACAAAATTGAGCTTTGGGTAGTTACTGCCAGGAGGATGCCCAACAAAGGATGCCTGGTAGTCCACAGACATGATGCGAAGTGAGAAGTAGTTAAGGTCAAATGTCCCACACACTTTGGGATCATTGGGAATGGTGAGTAAAGGCTGTGGACCGACCTGTTCTGAAAATTCAGAGACGAGTATGAAATCTTTTGAGAATTTCGCATAGGATGTCTTCGTCCAGGGATTTGCATTGGCAGCATGAGCAAACAAAGGCACAGAAAACTCCTCTGGAAGTGAGCATGGATCTGTGAAAGAGTCCCCAAAGTCATCTTCTTTGGTCAAAGCCACCACATCTGGTGAGCCAATCATGTTCTCGGAGGATATAGAGAGACATCAGCAGAGATACCCTTCCATGCTCAGTATCTAAATCGATGAAAACATAATATTTTACAAAGACATCATTTTGAAAACACAAATCATAAATACGCTGTGCACTGAGGAGGACTCTCTGTCTTTGCAGCACGGCTGGTTAGTCCATTGAGCCAGATCACGATCTGATGTAGATGAGCTTGAAGACGTGCTCTGGCAGACCTTCGATGTCGCCTGCCATAAATCTCATACATCTATCAATCGTCGCCGCTTACATAAACCTATTTATAATCCGGCATCTATATAACAAATCTAAACGAAGACACCGCTGTTACAATGTACTCCAGCTGCTCAATAAACTGACATCCTCTTTTAACAGCAGCCATATTTAAACGATCGTAACCTTCCCATGTGACTATCCCGATGAGGAAGCAGCTGCGTTTCAAAACCTAGAGAGCTGACTAGCTAGACAGCAGTTTGGGCACACTTGGAAAGCTCTTATGCTGCCCAAATATGCTACCCACGTAGGCATCTAACTAGGTTTTGAGACACAGTCTCTTGCGTTTGTTATGATGCGCTGTCTGGTTGTTCAAGGGGAGAAATTATATTATGCGTAATGTATGACAAGACTCGTTATTATACATATATGCAGATTCACTGTTTTAACTAATTATTATTTATTTCGTTGGGAAAATACACAACACAGCATTCTAACCAGATTGCTTTACGGTATTTTTACGACAATTCTCGCCAGGCGCCGGAGTTATTTGTGTATATACGTGTGTAATAGGAATAGGAAAAGCAAAAACAAGGAAGAAATTGATTATAAATAAACTATGACCGCATAACAGCAAAAGTAGGTGGCGATATGCACACAGGATGTAACACGCCAAAAAACGGAAGGAGAAGAAGAAGAAGGCGCCGGAGTTCGAAGTTGTTTACAGAGAGTTGATTCATCTGCTGTGTTTACACGTTATTAAAAACTTTTACCGAGATTTATTTCCGTTTACGATGATATGTGTTATCTCAGTTAACTTATAGGTTGTCAGGGTTTTATGCTATTCAACAAGCTGTTATTTTGATGTAATGTTCGGAGTGTACAGTGACCATGCGCAGTTATGAACGTTTTGTTTAGATCACTACGAGTGACAATTGGCAGTCGATTTTATAGACAACAATCTGTAACTATGATAAGGCGCACACAGATTAAGAAAGTGCTCTGTGTTGCTGAGAAAAACGATGCAGCTAAGGGCATAGCAGAGATCATGTCAAACGGGAGATCGAGAAGAGTGAGTGCTGACTGTTGCACAGTTACTTTGATCCATAATGTCAGACCTTATAGTTGTTAAACGAGTTGTTGTTTTTATTTGTATGTAATAATGATCATCACTGGTAATGAATTTGTTTTTTCTTGACAGAGAGAAGGCTACTCTGTTTACAACAAAATATATGAGTACGAATACCACCTCTTTGGTCAAGTAAGTAATTTTTTAGTTAATTACTACATATAAGTAGTGTATAGAGTCTGTATTTGATCATAGTGTTTATTTGTTCACAGAATGTAACTGTAAGCATGACATCTGTGTCAGGACATCTCTTGAGTCTCGAATTCAAAGCTCCCTTTCAGAAATGGTAAAAAGTTATATTTCTTCATATCTCTTTGATAATACAGTTTAAATATTCAGTTAAACTTTGTCATGTGGTCTGTTTCACAGGCATAGTTGTAATCCAGTCCTGTTGTTTGACGCTGAAGTGGAAAAGTACTGCCCTGAGAAATTTATACCCATCAAAGTATTCATTTTCATGCGTTCACTTAGATTTGTGTTTAGAATATGAGCTTGTATTTTATATTTTAATGTATGTATTTACATTATCCAGAGGACTTTGGAGAGAGAGGTGAGACAATGTCAAGCTCTGGTCATTTGGACTGATTGTGACAGAGAAGGAGAAAATATCGGCTTTGAGATCATTGATGTTTGCAAAGCAGGTAAGTTTAGTACATCGTGGTTCTAGTTATTCACTGTACTGGTGCTATATATCTCTAACACCCATGGGATATCTTTTAATTAAGTGAAGCCAAACGTTCAGGTCTTCCGTGCACGGTTCTCTGAGATCACCCCGAACTCCATAAGGAGAGCCTGTGAGACCCTTACTGAGCCGGATATCAATGTCAGTGATGCAGTGGATGTGAGACAGGAGCTGGATCTCCGCATCGGTAGGCAGTTCCAAATAGAAGATAACATATACACAAACTACTGCATTTTAGACCATGTTTAGCGTATGTACACTGTGTTCCTTCAGGGGCATCATTTACCAGGTTCCAGACATTGCGCTTGCAGAAGATATTCCCAGAATCTCTCTCTGATCAGCTCATCAGTTATGGCAGTTGTCAGTTCCCGACCCTTGGCTTTGTGGTAGAGCGGTTTAAAGCCATTCAAGCCTTTGTACCTGAAACTTTCTTTAAAATCAAAGGTACTCTGTTTTTTTGAATTGACACGCTTCGCATTTAATAATTTTGAACCAAATACAAGAAGTGCTTTGCAGTGTCGTCACATGTGCTTTATTGTCTGTGTGTGAAATTTCTGTTTGATAGTTGTCCATGAGCCTAATGAAGAGGAATCGGTTGAATTCAGCTGGAAAAGACATCGTCTTTTCAGTCACACAGCATGCCTCGTGCTGTATCAGATGTGCATGGAGGTGTGTGCTTCTATATGACTTGTTAAAAACGTTTTTAAAAACATATGTAAGCTTTGTAGTTCATTATTAAGTCATCATAAGTTTTCTGTGTTTGGTTTTAATCTTTTCTTAGGATCCGATGGCGAAAGTGATATCTGTAACAAGTAAACCAAAAAGCAAATGGCGACCTTTACCTCTCGACACTGTGGTAAGTAATTTAGAGCTTGACAGATTTTATACATTAAAACATTTGGAAATATGGACAGAAGTATGTATGTGGACACTCAGACATCACACCCATACACTACCATTCAAAAATGTGAGTTCAGTAAGATCTTTTGAAAGTTTTTTATGCTTGCCCAGGCTGCATTTATTTGGCCAAAAATACAGTAAAAACAGAATTATTGTGGAATGTTAGTATTTAAAATAACTGTTTTCCATTTTAATCAATTTTGAACTAATTTATACCTAATTTATTCTTACTGACCCCAAACTTTTGAATGGTAGTGTACTTTTTGTCATATAGTGTATGTTATACAACTACATGCAAGATGGTAAATATAGACAAATTTGACAGTTTTGTGTACACAATGGTCATTAGCTACTAAAGTTAGTATAGTATAATTTACATTTAGTCATTTTGCAGACACTTTTATCCAAAGCGACTTACAATTGGGGGATACATAAAGCGATTCTTCTTAAAGAGGCAAACAGATACAGGAAGTGCTTGTAATACCAAGTTTCTAGACATTGTTCAAATAAGTACAAGCTAGAAAGAGAGTATGTACACTGTGTTCCTTCAGGGGCATCATTTACCAGGTTCCAGACATTGCGCTTGCAGAAGATATTCCCAGAATCTCTCTCTGATCAGCTCATCAGTTATGGCAGTTGTCAGTTCCCGACCCTTGGCTTTGTGGTAGAGCGGTTTAAAGCCATTCAAGCCTTTGTACCTGAAACTTTCTTTAAAATCAAAGGTACTCTGTTTTTTTGAATTGACACGCTTCGCATTTAATAATTTTGAACCAAATACAAGAAGTGCTTTGCAGTGTCGTCACATGTGCTTTATTGTCTGTGTGTGAAATTTCTGTTTGATAGTTGTCCATGAGCCTAATGAAGAGGAATCGGTTGAATTCAGCTGGAAAAGACATCGTCTTTTCAGTCACACAGCATGCCTCGTGCTGTATCAGATGTGCATGGAGGTGTGTGCTTCTATATGACTTGTTAAAAACGTTTTTAAAAACATATGTAAGCTTTGTAGTTCATTATTAAGTCATCATAAGTTTTCTGTGTTTGGTTTTAATCTTTTCTTAGGATCCGATGGCGAAAGTGATATCTGTAACAAGTAAACCAAAAAGCAAATGGCGACCTTTACCTCTCGACACTGTGGTAAGTAATTTAGAGCTTGACAGATTTTATACATTAAAACATTTGGAAATATGGACAGAAGTATGTATGTGGACACTCAGACATCACACCCATACACTACCATTCAAAAATGTGAGTTCAGTAAGATCTTTTGAAAGTTTTTTTATGCTTGCCCAGGCTGCATTTATTTGGCCAAAAATACAGTAAAAACAGAATTATTGTGGAATGTTAGTATTTAAAATAACTGTTTTCCATTTTAATCAATTTTGAACTGTAATTTATACCTAATTTATTCTTACTGACCCCAAACTTTTGAATGGTAGTGTACTTTTTGTCATATAGTGTATGTTATACAACTACATGCAAGATGGTAAATATAGACAAATTTGACAGTTTTGTGTACACAATGGTCATTAGCTACTAAAGTTAGTATAGTATAATTTACATTTAGTCATTTTGCAGACGCTTTTATCCAAAGCGACTTACAATTGGGGGATACATAAAGCAATTCTTCTTAAAGAGGCAAACAGATACAGGAAGTGCTTGGATGATGTGTGTGAGTGCTGGTAAAAGTGTAGGAGAGATTGCTTGGAGGAGGTGTGAGGGGATTGGGTCTAGAGGGCATGTTGTAGGATGGCTGGAGAGGAGAAGATTTGATACTTCTGCCTCAGTGAGGGGACAGAAGGAGAAGATGGGAGTTTTTGCAGTGGGTGTGGGTGGTTTGAAATCCTGTGTGTGTGGGGTTGAGAATTGACTACTGATTGTTCTGGTTTTGTCTGATGCTTGTAAGCTTGTAAATTTATGAGTGACACACCCCTTAAGACCCAAAAATGAGTACTAGTGGTGCTGAATGAGTGAAGTGTGATCAGGATGAGTGCCAACTGAATCAATGAGAAATAATGTAATATATTTGTTAATACGTTTCAATTTCTTTCTTCAGGAACTTGAAAAACTGGCTTCAAGAAAACTGAGGATAAGTGCCAAAGAAACCATGAAAATCGCAGAAAAGCTGTACACTCAAGGGTATGTTAAAGGTTATTTCATCTACATGTCTGTGGCCTACAGCATGTCTGTTGTGTCCTTTCACAAATCGGCCTGTCTGTTTCCTTCTAGGTTCATCAGTTATCCTCGTACTGAGACCAACATGTTTCCACAGAACCTGAACCTAACCATGCTGGTTGAGCAACAGACACAAGACAATGAATGGGGAAATTTTGCACAGCGCATTTTGGAAAGCGGTGGGCCCTTACCTCGAAATGGAAACAAATCTGATCAGGCCCATCCCCCCATTCACCCCACCAAATACACCAACAGTTTACAGGTGAGCAACCTTCCCTCAATAGCGCGATATG